ATCGACTAAGCATATGCTTAGTCGATGGCGCGACACGACAAAGCGGCGACATAGAGTCAATATCATTTCAATAATCGCCCCGCTGGTACGAGAAAATTATCACGAGTCGAGCGCACTAGAGGTTTTCCTCGAATTCTCGACCATTCGTTACAGGCTGCATACGCAGCAGCTAAAAATTTGATGAAAAGTAAATTTGTAGCAGTATTAAGAAATTCACTGTGCACGTCTGGTCAGGGATAACATGGACGATGGACGCAGAAGAAGGCCTGCTTTTTAGACTCCATTTTAAAATAAGGAACTACTATTTCTGGCTCATTCCTAATACAACATATCGCCATTAATTTCCTTACGCAGATATGTCCTTTTACAGATGAGCCAAAAATAGTGGTTCCTTATTGGAGAATGTAGTCCAATTAGACACACGAGCAAATTCGACGCGGGGAAAAAGGCGGTCGTAATAAGAGCGGAGGAGAGAGATAAACGATATTCATCCCGCTGATATGACCCGCAAAGGCGGGGGTGGGCAGAGCAATGGAAAAGTGAGGAGACGGGGGGAGGGGGGAAGTCAATCGGTCCGTTCCCGCGACTCGGAGCGGGGAACATAAAAAAGAACCAATTTTCATATGTTATTTCTGCGGCGCTGGAATTAAACACACCGGGACCGGGAGAGCCGAAGCGGATCCACACAAAAATATACCATTATAATATCGAAAAACCAATTTCCGCCGGCGGATATAATATACAGTTATCGGCCCGCCCTCGGATCCCGGGCGCGCGGGGCGGGGAGAGGTCGCGAGGGGGCGGGAGGGAATTGAAGAAAAACCCAGCATATTTTCTTCGGGGTTACCCGTGTATTTTATTGTTTGCTTCAAATTGTGTTCGCTGATTGATTCTCCTACTTTTTTTATCGGTCAACCCCTTCCCTCCACCCGGCTGTGCCGTTCTAGCCTCCCTTATCATTTTTTCCCTTTTTATTTTGTAGCCAAGTTGTCAAATTTTTTGTTTATGAATACTTTTCAGGTTTGATGTAACGAAGCTCCTGCTAACCTTAAATGCTTCCTCTTCTTTTTCTTCTTCTACAACTCAACTAATAACCCGAAACCAAATCAATCTCCTCCCAATAAAGACATAGTTAATCAATCCTCCCAACAACAATCGTATTTAACATTTCATAAATTCCAAGCAAAGGAAATATTATCACTATTTCATATTAATAGATAAAATCCTATGTATAACTCTATGACAACATCAAACCTTAATAAGCTCCAGTTTAAAAAAATTCATCCTTAAATGCGAACAGCGTCATTTGAACGTTGCCTTCACTGGCGGATCCGGGAAGTTGGCAACACTGCTTTTCCTCCATTTAAACCTATGGAAATGTATCGATTCACTGTGGGGTGGATGCTTCGACAAGAATCGATTATTCAACACAGGTTTAGAAAGAGAGAAGCAAGTGTTAACCGATCTGCTGCTTCCGTCTCTGCCTGAATCTTTGATGGCTATGCTCGTATTGTTTGTCTTTTCTCAAGAATACTTACTACCAGGATTTGGCCAAGTTTTCAAGTGTGAGTACATTTTCTTTCTTTACGTAAGGATTTAAAACTCAAAAGAAAAATAGTTAAAACCAGCCAAACTTTCGATTTACGAAACAAACTTTCATAACACGATTTTCAAGTTCCAAATTATTTGAAAAAAAGAGGGAATTTTTTCCAGTTTAAAAATGTCCGAATGAACATGAATTTAAAATCCTGCAGCTACAGCCAGGCACCATTACTGGTTTTTTTCGAGCATGCTCAAAAACGCGTCGCGTTGGCGCACCGAATCCGCGTCCCTCATCCGAGGGACAGGGAAGAGCGAGGGAGAGGGAGGGGTAGAGAGGGAAGGGAGCGAAATAGAGCTCAAATAAAAACGTTACTGAATTTCGTGGCAACTGCAGTTGGATAACAAAAGCGAGCAACATTCCATGTATTAAAACTTTACAACCAATGGCGCGATTATGTAGTGCTGGCCGCACTAAATGCTGCATTGGAACGCTGAAAACTTGTAAAAATCGGAAAAAAAACTTCAGGTAATTGCTCGAGTATGAATTATTCCAGCGGAGAGAAAGATAGAATATATTCCATAGCAGAACGGGAGGGGGGGCGGCGTAAAATTTCAGTCGGAGCGTCGCGACTACATTTTCGCTCCGAACGAAAACCGCGTAAACCCCAATACAAAACAACAGCGAGTTGCGTTGTTTTCGCTTCGAGCGGGAGCACAAAGGGCCATTATCTCCCGGAACACGGCCGGAAACCGAGGACCGAGGGGTATCTTTTGCCGTTCGAAAAAAAGTTTTAAGAAAGCGCTAATTAGTTTTCTTGGCCGCTTTTTAATACCCACTGTTTTAGTCGGCACTTTTTTAATTAAAAGTTCATGAATAATTTTTGCTCCTATTTTAATAACCGAGGCACCCTCCCGAACGATCCGCCGGTGGAGGGGAAGGGGGGGAGGGTGGAAAAGCCCTCAAATCCGAATGTAATTAAAGGTGCTCCTGGAAGGAGTGAAGGAACTCGGTTGCGTGAGGGAGCCGCCCGAGTCCTCGCTCAAACGGAATCGCGAGGCTGCTTCGTCTCTACAAAACAGGGCTCATGACAGCATCTGAAAACCAAACTCGAGCTTTCCAGCGGGCTGATTCTTGAATTTGAAGGACAAAGCGATAGACAAAGGAAACATAGATGGTACAGAGCGATCTTATTGGTTGAAATGGTTGGTTATTATAGACTAAGGGAGAAAATGAAGATCTAACCATACGCTGGAAAAAAAAGAAAGAAAAAAACACATTGGATCTTGAGTCCAGACTCTTAAAAACATTGACAAAAAAAAGTACTCTTGATTCTATCAGAACCTAGCTTAAATCAAGGACCAAGCCTCTTAATTTAAGCGGATTTCCTTTTGATTCAAGCAAAAATCCGATTGAATCAAAAGTATTTTTTTTTTGTCAATATTTTCAAGAGTCTGGACTCTAGGTCCAATGTGTTTTTTTCCCAGTGTATCTGAAAACCAAAATCGAGTTTTCCAGCGGGCTAATTTTTGAATTTGATGGACAAAGCCGTAGACAAAGGAAACATAGATAGTACGGAGCGATCTAATTGGTTGAAATGGTTGGTTCCTATAGACTAAGGGAGAAAATGATGACCTAACCATGGGATCTCTCGTGATTTGCCGTTAGTTAGTCTATTATCTACCTTCTTCATTCATTGAAACCATCCGCTTCCACCAATAGGATCCCTCCAAATCCCTTTCGTCTTCTTTGTCTATAGCTTCGTCTATCAATTTCAACTATCAGCCCGTAGGAATTTCTAAGAAGTTGCCACGACCAAAATAAAGGTTTTCGAAAAAAGGACTTCTGAGAAAAAAAAATTGTGAAATTTCAAGGGCGCACAATCTTTTTTTTCGGAGCATCGAGGAATTTCTAAGAATAAACGTTCTCTCTTCCTATGTTTTCTTTCTCTGTTGTTTGCTTAAAATGAGGCAAAAATACAATTTAAAGACGGCGCACAGTGGATCGAGTCGATGGAAGAGGTCGAACATAATTTGGAAACTTTAAACGCTTACAACTCCGTTTATACAAAACTTTGAGGTTCTAAAAGTGGTTTCATTGGTTTCCTCGTGAAATTTTTTCCTAGTAGCACCCCTTGAACTTTAAAAAGTGACGAAATAAACATCAAAATTCGCAGTTTTTGTCATAAATGTCATGCCCGATCTCTTTAATTGACTCGCTCCACTGCGCGACGGTACAATGCTACATTTCTAAGGACCCCGTTGGGAAGGATTTATAAAAAACCTATCTTGCAAAGATCATGAACAAAATAACGGGATGATGCATAATTAAAAGACGTTCGTGCGTATTCGGGCAGTTTCGCAAAATACGAGGACTCGAATGTCTCGGGAAATTCTCAATTTTTTCTTTTTTACACTGAAAAGAGAAGCTCGTTCCCGACTTTCAGGCCCGCCGGTGATAATCTGGGAACCTGTTCAGAGAGATTAAAGGAATATCGAAGGGAAACTTAGTTTTTTCTGAAGCTTTTTCCGAAAAGTCATTTCCACGTTTACGAGGCTTATTTGCCGCAAATTCACTCGATTTCCGTCGATTTCATTTTGATTTAAACCTCGGCTCGAAGTTTCCTGCCGAGGCGTGAAAATCCCTTCCAAAATGAAATTTCCCTCATTAAAACCGCTCTTACAACCGAGAAACGGATAAATCACGTTTGCTCGTCGCATTTATTATGACATTATCGGCGGCAATGCACTTTTTTCTCACATAGGCAAATGCAGTTCGAGGAGGATATTTAACTCGCAATTTTTGCGCCGTTCCAGACCGCGCGGCATTAATCAGTTTGCGAAAAAAAATCGCAATCACCTGAAATTTAACATAAATGCCACTATGCAGAGGGAACAAATCTTTAGTGAGCCTGTTCAAAAACGCCTATCTACTAGGAATTTCATGAACCAAACATACTGTTTCATGAGGAAATTAAATACCCAGAAAGTAATTTACAATTAAGGAGTACATTACTAGGTACTGGACGAATAATAATGGAGAATTTGCAAACAAATTTTTTATTGCTTCATCTGAAAGTGCTTAAAGAGCTGATTTCACAGTATTCTTTATCATTTTTTTTTGATACGGGCAATAGTATAAAAATAGAGTTAGAAGTGAGAAAATGCACCGCCTAGTGACGTCATCTGGCACTGGCGGCATTTCCCATTTAGACTCACGTATTTGAGCAAATTTGATCATTTTGACATATCTTCTCCAATAATTTATTGTTCAATTCATGAACCAAGGGTATCCTCGAGTTCAGTTCACTCAGTAGTTTCCACTTAAACACGAAATTCATCACATTTCAGACACCTGCAAATTCTCTATTAAGGGATACATTCAACTTAAAAACATCACCTCTGGGTCATCAAATTCTTTGTTTTATTATGCGTATTCAGAGAGTCGTGGATTTCCTTACCTGTATTATTTTCATTTGTGTTGAGCATTTTGGGCGAAATTAGGTTGATTTTGCCTATTTTTCCGGAGGTGTTTTGGCCCGCGATGAATACCTAGCTCATCGATGCCACCTTCCTCATCTGAACATCTCACCAGAATCTGCAACAAAAAAAAGATTCATTCTAATAACTTTTGAATGAAATCCGGAGAATACTTCGATTCTCGCCGATTGCTGGAAACCTGTGGAGAAAAATGGAAAAGATCTCGAGGTAAAACAATGGCAAACATGAAAATAAGAAAGTTGGGTCAAAAATGGGCAACTTGCTGACAGGGTCTGAACTGGAGAAAGAAGTTACATGTCTTCGTCTTTAAAGATGTCGTCAGGTTGTTGGGAAAGCAAGAGAACGAGATATTATCGAGCAGTTTTAACACATAGCAAATGAAAGTTAGATTATATCGGGTGTTTCAGAACAACCATCCACTATCTTTTCCTCGGGAACGGCCGAGAATTGATCGTAGGGACGAAAACTTCTAGAGGTAAATTGACTTCAAAGAATTTAATCAAAATATTTTCAACCCCCCTATCAATAAAATCAATAAAAAAAATGGAAAATCCTCATAAAATCAATTCTACTATTTTATACTTCCGATTTTGACGATTTTCCGAACGAAAGAACATAATTACATTTCGACGTTGTAAAATTTCCTCTTTCATTTTGTATTTTCTTCAAAGAACTGTTGGGCGTTTCTTACAAAACTTTTCCACTTGACTGATATCGTATACCGCCGTAATTTCAGAAAAAATGGATTTGTAAACGAATTTGGCAACACTGTAATGGAGATACGTTCCTTCGACAAATTAGGGGCGTTCCGGAGCGGAAGGGTTGGCGGGAAACTCGCTATCGTGCCGCGAGACGAGAAAATAAAAAGCCGATTGATTGCGGCCCCTGGCGAGAAGGGAAGGGGGGGAGGGCGCATCGCAAGTTACGAGGTGAAAAAGGCGCGGAATTAGGCAAAACCGGCGCCTGATCGGGGGAGGGGGTGCCAATCGTGACTGCGGGCGCGAGTTCACACGCGCGCGCGGGGGGCGCGGGGAGATGAAAAGACGCAATCAAAGGCGCATAAAAGGCACTCTAACTAACCTTCGAACGCCCCCCTCTCACCCCCCTTCGACCCAATCACCGAGGAATAGCCGGGAGGGGAGGGGGAAGGGGTAGGTGGCTCTATTGCCAAATTGGATCATCTAGATGAGGAGTTAAGTAAGCAGTGTGTATCCAAGTCAAACGCGAATACTTTCAGAATCGATTTTGGGGATCAAAATAAGACTTTTTTTGTTCTGCAGTGTTTTACAAACCCCCTCCCCCTTCAGAGTTACAGTCCCTCAAAGTTTCGGCCAAAAATACCGTTATCTCTTCATTGTATTTGTCATAAATGAAAATGCATGGAAAATGACACCTTTATGTTTTTACACGCTGCAAACATTTCTGACCCGAAAAAATATAAAATTTTAAAACATGTAGGTTTAGCATCAGCCCTTGAGCCGTGTGAGTTTAAAATCAACTTTAATCACATTGTGTGGTTTAGCTAAACTTTTTTTGATGAGAATGGTTGGTTGGTTGGTTGGTAGATATGTTTATTTGGTGCTTCTAACAATTGAGCTATTAACACCTTAGAGGAGAGATCAAAATATAGTACAAAATTTAAAAATTTAAAAGGTCTTGTGGGTAAGAAGACACGTAAACGTGAAAAACGTTGTACGCTGATAAATATATTTGTGTTCTTGTGTTACTTTTGCTTAGTATAGGAAATTAAACACAAACCAACCCAGATTTTGTGTTGATTTTGGCACACTTTGCGGTGAATTCAGCGCAGAGAACAATGGGATATATGACGTGTAGATGAGTATACACAGGGTGTCTACTAAAACAGGCGGGCCAAAAATCAGTATACTTGAACAGTACTTTTTCAGTAAATTCCCAAAAAATTCAGTACCTCCTCGGTAGAAAAATTCAGTACTTTTTCAGTACCTCCATTTGACGAAATTCGAAAAATTTCAAAAATTTGAATTTCTCGCTACAATTGAGACAAAAATGACAAAAAAATGAAAAAAATTCCGGACCTTTTGCGAAATTTCCGCACTTCTTCAGTACTTCCGGACCCCCTTAAAAAATCGGTACTATTTTCGGACTTTCCAAAAAGTCCGGACTTGTAGACACCCTGATACGTGGGTTAAAGAGTCATGGATGAATATTCAGTCCTGGTGCTATGGATCGGAGCTCGGTTGTTTTAAACGAAGTATTTTTCTCTGTATAGAGCATAAAAATCATATCGTGTGGAGCGACAACGTTGGATCAAAATGAAGGGGTGGTGATTGGATGGAGCAAGGGAAGCTTGAGCTTCTGATTAGTGTCGGTTGCCGGGCCGAGATCCAGATCTTCTTGCCCGACACCTCGGCAATCCACAATCATCCCTTCTTTTCAGTACCGTGGCGTGCTTTGCGATATATCGAATGATCCGCTATTTAATCCTACGGACAAGGATCGATGAACAGATTGTCGGCAACAAACACCTTAATAATCGATTTTTTACCACAGCCTCGGATGGAATATCGATAATCGACCATTCACGCCTTGCCATTGCTTACTTTCCAACTTCCACCCTGAGCTTCGAATCACAGAGCTTTCCACCACCCTTGTGTCCGGCTCCGGAATTGCACTTGTGCACTGGGGAAAAACTTCGGTTTATAAGAAACACAAGTTCTTTTAGGGTGACCGAAGATTTTAACAGTCAAACTGATTGTGAGACTGACTTACTGACTAGTATTTTTATTTTCAAAAAACACTTAAGTCACTTGCCCGTAAAATTTTGAAAATTAGCGGGTCTCCAAAAACAATTTTTTTTTTTTACAGAGAACTTTTGTCATCTGAACCAGGGAGTCTCCTAAAATGTCATTTTGGATTTTCCTGATATTTTCCCGATATTCTCCAAGAAATTTCTTGATTTTTTGCACGAATAAAGTGACATTCGTTTGATTTTACGAACCAACATGTGATGGATTGCGATGGGTTGAATCAAATGTTTCATTTGCATACGCATAACTGGCTGTTGCTGTAAAATGCTTGACGCACTCGGAAATTCCTGACCCATGACCTAGGTTCCTGATATTTCCCTGATGACATTGAATTCCCTGATGTTTTCCGGTTTTTACTGACGGTAGACACCCTGTGAACCGAAGTTCCGTTTCCACTCCGCATGATTTAGTTACACTAGCGACCAAAAACTTTGGTGATCCTTATTGACTGAAATTCGGTCCTTGTAACCGATATTTTCACTTTCTCGCTACCCTAGGGTAGCGGAAGTATTGTCATCCTGCAAGGAGGTAAGGAGTTGAAATTTCATCACTTCTAGACGTTTTAAGGTCCCAGGAGCCAAAATAACCATACTTGAAAAAATGTGTGTTCGTCCTTCAGGCGTCCCCCAAATCTGTCTACAGTGATATCTCAGGATCTATCTGTTCGATTTCATTCAAAATGTGGAAAGGAGACCATATTTACGGTCTCTTAATGCACGTCGAACGATTTTTTTTTCTACGTGGGTTTGATCTCTTACCCCTATATCCCTTCTCCATACCCCATCATTGAGTAATCGGACGAATTCACATCGACGCTGTAATTCCACGGCACTCAGTTGTTGAAACGATGGAAACCCGGTCGATCTGGCAAAAGGGTAGTTTTTCTTTGGCGGGAGTCAAACAACTCGGAGTAATTACTCTTTTAATGACTCGTTTGGAGTGGCCGAGCGCGAGGGAGGGCGGAGCGGGTGGCGGTGCGGTAGGGGATGCGAAATCAAGCGCCGTGAAATTCGCGGTGGATGAGCGAGCGGAAATTTAAAATTTATGAAAATCAAATGGCGCGTATTTCGCCGCGCTCCTTGTTTCGCACGCTTTGATCTTTGCGGCACGACATCGCCCCGCTGCCGTTTTTCGATCACTCCGAGTCAGGTCTCCAACAGTAGCGAGGCGTGAATGATCGATTATCGATATTTCCTGATTTAAAGTTGTGGCGAAGAGTCGAATTTTCAGGTGTTCGTAGCAAACACGCTGTGTATCGATCCTTTTCCTTGGGTTAGATCGTATTTGATAGTGGTTCGATCTATCGTCTGGTTCAAAGCAATAGAACATAACCTCAACAAAAATTTGAGGATTCAAATTGGAAAAGTTGAAAATTGCTTCCCCCGCGCAAAAAATGCGGCGACCGTACCCATGAAGCAACGCGGGCCTTAGTATTACAACACTATTCACACGGTCAATGGAAAACGGCCGAAAAGTGCGTGCACTACTAGCGCGGTGAACGCTCAATATTTTTGAAGCCCATTAGAATGGTCAAACATTTATCAAGAATGAAGTAAAAGAGAGCGAGAGAGAGATGAAGCAGCATAAATCGTCGCTTCTCTGACGTAAGGGCGTATCTAGATTTTCGCATGAGCCTTAGAAAGCAAAGAGTGAAACGGAGCACAGGGGTCACGTAGAAATCGAGATACGCCCTTAAGCCAGAGGGGCGACGATATGTTGCGTCGATGGAATTCTGGCAAGTGTTAGAGATCTGCGACTTAAATACTGATTCCTACGTAAAATTTGAATCTACGAGAAACACGTTAGTGCGGCTGGTTTTCTCTGTAATAAATTCTCGAGCTCAAAAAAAGCTCTCAAAGCTCAGACCGTAATGGCGGGGATGTCCCAAGCTACGTTGAGGGTTTGCCTGTATATCTATAGTCAAACTCTTTATGCATGAATAGGGAGCAAATAGATTAGCAGGGTTGCTATTTTTGTATGGGAACTCCAAGTTGGGACCACGGCAACCCTCCAGCCAGCCAAGCCAGCCCAGGCCCACGGAAAAATTAGCTGTTAATTTAGCATTTATATTGTTAAAAACATGTCCAACAAGTTTCAAATGCTGATTTTACATTTGAAGAAATGCCAACTTAACTGCGCCCACTGTAAAACGAACAAATTGAAATGTTCTGTTAGCATTTTTGTATTGTAAAATCAGCATTTGAAACTTGACGGGCTCTTTTTTAACATTTGAAAGGCTAAATCAGCATTTAATTTTTTTCCGTGCCGGCTGATAATCGAGATGTCTTAACTCTGGGTATGAAGGGAC